GTATTCAACCTAACGTCCCGCTAGCCCAAACAGATTGCATGAAACCCATACACGCTTGCACCGGTGAGGCGATGCCCTATGCGGCAATGGCCACCGGTTGTGGCGCGACTGAGTTGTCTATAAGTGAGAAGAGCACTGAACAACGTGCCCACCCCACCATTCGTTCAACGTCGGAATTGCTGCATATCGCACAACTCGATGTCATCAACCCTACCGTGGCGAAATCTTGGCCTTCAATTGGCCCATCAAGTTTAAGTTCGGACGATGGAGAAAATCAAGTGGCCATTTCCCATTCATCCGACCACCATTGACGAGTATGGAATCTGCGCCATTGATGAGTCCCCTGCTGCCGTCTCGCCAGCCCTCTGCGATGTCGACAAAGGCTATTGCGGCTATGCTTGCGACGGTCGCCGGGGCGCTGGTATACGTAGCCTCCTCCCCAAGGGCATCGAGAGTGGCCGACATGTTCGCAGGTGAAACCATAGACATGAGCCACAAGCGCGGCCAGCCCACCGAGTCGTTCGAGGGCGACCTTCGCCTTCGATGCAACGAAACGTACATCACCCAAACATTGGATCACTTTACGGCTCACCACGGCACGTACGAGCAGCGGTACTTCACGTGCTCCGAACACTGGAAGTCCCCGAACGGACCGATCTTCTTTTACACGGGCCACGAGAGCGACGCCGAGAGCTTCCTCAAGGCGACGGGACTCATGTGGGAGAACGCGGCGGAGTTTGGCGCGCTCTTGGTCTTTGCCGAACACCGATACTTCGGCAAGTCGTTCCCAAAGATCGCCAACGCGTCGTACATTGAAAGCCTGCGATGGCTGTCGTCAGAGCAAGCGCTGGCCGACTACTCAGTTCTCGTCAAGCATTTGAAAACGACTTTGCACGCCGAAGCCAGTCCGGTCATCTCGTTTGGCGGGTCGTACGCAGGCATGTTGTCCGCCTGGTTTCGAATGAAATACCCGTTTGTCGTGGACGGCGCGATCTCTTCGTCGGCGCCGCTGCTAGCGTTCAAGGGCCAGAACCCTCCAGTTGACCCGGAAGCGTTCTCACGCATAACGACCTTTGTCGGAACTCCTGCGGCCGGTTCAGCTGCCAACTGTGTCCCAAATATCCGCAAAGCGCAACAAGTGATTGCTTCGTGGGGTGCTACTGCCGAGGGCCGTGCCAAGTTGACTACGGCGCTTGGTTTGTGCTCGGTGCCGCCGTCCCAAGACGTTGCGATCGAAATCAGCGACAGCTTGGTTAGCACGTACACGGAATTGGCGGAAGGCAACTACCCGTGGCCGTCCGACTACTTTGGGGACCTGCCCGCGAACCCGTACCGCGTCGCCTGCGACCACTTGAAGGACGATTTTGCCAACGACGAGGCCGCACTCTTGGCTGGCTTTCGCGCAAGTGTCGGCGTTGCGACCAACTCGACGGGGGAGCTTCGATGCGTGGACTGGAACTCGACGTACCCCATTGAATCGGAAAACTTGTGGTCGTACTTGGCTTGCTCCGAGCTGTACATGGTCATCAACGACCAAGACGGCGTCCGCGACTTCTTCCGCCCGTCCAAGCAAAACGAAACAGCGGACGCTGAACAGTGCCTAGCCAAGTGGGGGGTCGAGCTCCGTCCTCTCTGGGCCAACACGCAGTACGGTGGCTGGGACGGCATTCGCGCTGCGTCCAACATCGTGTTTTCGAACGGCAACTTCGACCCGTGGGGTGGTTACGGCGTGTGGGAATCGCAAAGCGCCTCGGTGATTGCCATCGCGATCGACCAAGGCGGGCATCATTTGGACCTCATGTTCAGCAACGAAGCGGACCCGCAGTCCGTCCGCGATGCCCGCGAGCTCGAAAAGAAGGAAATCCGCAAGTGGATTGACCAAAAGCGCAACGCCCCAGCTGACTCTGTGTAGACGAAAATGCATGTCGCGTCCCCAAGCGTAAAATAGTCGATGTGTCCTTGAATCTGTGGGCTTGCAACCCTTCCCTTGATGTTTGTTGCACGTCAAGGGCTTGCTCCAAGGAAACTCTCGTGACACTACCCATCTCACTCTGCGGTGCCACGCCTTGCCGTCCATTGCACTTGACCAACACGTGCATGCTTCAGCATCTCATGACATGCCACGCATCCAGTAGTCGGAATCGTTATCGAACTGACCACCGACTGGGATCCCTGGACTGGTTCCTTTCGCATTGTGCAGGTATGCGACTTGTCCATTGCCGCCTGAATTGAAGCCCTTGAACTCGATCCATTGGCATGCGGGACACGCAACGCCGCTCTTAAGTTGCTGCGGGACATTCAACGCTCGACGCTTAGCAAGTCAACGTTCATTGCTAGGATTCAACGATAAAGAGACTATGGGGCGAGGACACCGCCGTCCTTGGCAAGTCGATAGAATACGCCTTCTGCCGCGATGAGCGCCGCCGGCGTGTCCATCTCGACGACCCGACCAGCATCCATCACCATGATCCGGTCCGAATGCATGATCGTGTGCAGCCGATGCGCGATTGTGAGCACGGTCGCCTCGGCAAACTCGGTCGCAATCACCTCCTGCAAACGCACGTCCGTGTCGTGGTCCATCGCAGCCGTCGCTTCGTCCAGCACCACGATCTTCGACTGCACCAGCAACGCCCGCGCCAGGCACAGCATCTGCCGCTCGCCCACGCTCAAGTTGGCCCCCTTGTCTGCCACCTCCGTGCTCAGCTTGTCCGGCATGTCGCTCACAAGCGCGAGCAGCCCTGCCTTCGACACCACCGACCACAACGCAGCGTCGTCGTACGACCCGAACGGATCCAAGTACTGCCGGAGGGTCCCCTTGAAGAGGACAGGCGACTGGGGAATGATCGAGAGCTGCCGCCGCAGGTCTTGCTTGGCCACCGTCGCAATGTCTCGGCCGTCGATGTGGATCGACCCAGACACCAACGGGTACATGCGGAAGAGGACCATGGTGAGACTCGACTTGCCGGCGCCCGTGCGGCCGACGATCCCAATCTTTTCACCGCCCGCAATGTTGCACGTGAGGTCCCGCAGCACCATCTCGCTAGTTGGTTTGTACCGGAACTGAACTTGCTTGAACGAAATGGAGCCTTTCGTGATGGCCAGAGCGGTGGAGGTGCCTTGCGGTCTCATGGCTTCCTCGGCGGGCAAGTCGCAGTACTGCAGCACACGCTCAGGAGACACCATGTTGATTTCGAGCCACGAAAAGTTGGACACAAGATAGCCAATGTTGGCGTCCGCCATGAGAATGTAGTTGAACGCCAGGCCGACCAAGCCAGCGGACAACGCGGACCGGAAGAACACGAGGCCCGTCGCTACGATCATGACGATGGCCGTGCCCTGGAGCTGGATGCACAGTTCGAACCACGCGTTGACGCTGCACCGAGCAAACCGCACGCGGTGGTTTGAATTAACATGATGCGCATGTCGACTCACGGCGCGCTCGATGTACGTGGCGCCGTACACACGGACGAGCATGAAGCCTACCGGAAACATCAAGTACAGGGACGGCGATTGGCATAAGTCGCACCATGCTCAATTTCGTCCAAGAAAGTGAGCACGGGGGAGTTGGTGATGTTCCACAGACGCGTGAGCTCGCGAGACGGTCGCAAGTACAGCTGGGCCACTCGAACGTAGACATAAATAAGGGGCAGAAAAAGAAGACCAAACCACCGCACCTGCAAGTTGACCAGTCAGCCACCCCACGATCCATCGAATGCAATCGTGCACACGTACCACAAACATGGCCGTGAGGAGCGACGACGCCACCGAGAAGAACCACCCAGTGACACCAGCGTAGCTGAACGGGAGCCGCGTGTCGATGCTCGCGATGTCCTGGGCATATCGATTCACGACGCGGCCGATCGGATTAGCATCGTAAAACGACATTGTAGTTCCCAAGAGGGACGTCGTCAGCTTGTCGAACAGAACCCGCGACGCACGGACGCCCGACACCGCGACGAGAATCGTGCGACATAGCACCGCCACCATCATCCCGAGGCACAGCGCCGTGTACATGCCCAAGTACCACTGAGAGTACACGACCGCGTCGTCGCTGGACGTCCACACGCCGAGCCAGACATCCGATCCGACTTGCAACACCTGTGTCGCTGTTTGGAACGCAAAGAGGAGTCCGATCGTGCGCCACCCACCAAACGCAGCAATGTACGATGCGTACACATCGAGCCCGACTCGTCCGATCGCTCGCTCTTCTTCGCCCAACTGCTCGGATATTGCATGGTCAAAGTGCTCTGTCCACTTGTCTCCAGCCTCCATTGTCCGCGGGGACCACAACGGACTCGGCAGAGACCCCACGACTGGCTTGGCGACGCACGGAACCTTGATGATGTCGATTTTGGCCGCCATTGGGGCGGATGGCTTTATGTGGGAATGCTCCATCGATCCTTCGTCCAGTTCAATCAACCGATTGACGCTGGGTGACCCGATGATGTCGCCATTGTGGGTCACCAAAATCACCGTCTTGGACTTGAGTAGCGTTTCCACGCACTTGGACATGATCTCCTTCTGCACGACCGCGTCGATCGCAGCCAGCGGCGCGTCCAGAATCACAATGTCCGCGTCACTGTAGCACGCTCGGGCCAAACTGATGCGCGCCTTTTGCCCCCCCGACAAGTTGCGGCCCTTCGACCCCACCTCGGTCAGGTCCCCGAACGCCATCAGCGCAAAGTCCGGCAACAAACCGCACGCCTCGACCACCCGCATATACTTGCGCGAGTCAAAGGGCGACCCAAACAGGATGTTGTCGCGGACACTCATTTGCTGAATCCACGGCTCCTGCGAGCAGTACGCAATGGATCCGTAGACGCCGGTCGTGCCCTTGGTCTGGTGCATCTCGCCAAGGATCGCATTGCACAAGCTCGACTTGCCGCTCCCGACCTTTCCATGGACGACGACGAGGTCGCCGCGGGACACGGTCAACGAGATATTCTTGAGCGTGGGAGCCATGCTGTCCGCAGCATCCCACGTAAACGTTCCGTTTTCAATCACCACCATTGTTGGGCCATCCTACAAGGGATTCCCGTCCGTTTGAATCAGGGCAAGAATGGGGTTAAGCCAACTCACATGCTGCTTGGGGGGAGTGGGGCGTATGGGCTTTTCGGGCTGGTGCAAGTACGACTTGATGCGGTGCAGCGATACCTGGGCCTGCAGGACGGACGTGACGTGCATGGGCAAGTCCGAGAGAGGGATCTGAAGGAGGCGAAACAGTGCCAAGGACGTAAAGACTTTCGACGCGGTCAACGGCTGTCCCAGCACTAGTGTGTACGCGGCAAACGATGCCGTCGATACGAACAGTGGCCCTGCCCAGAAGCTGAAGATGCTCGACGCGGCGATCACCATAAACGTCCAGATACGTGCCAGCTCTACCAACCGTCATGTCACTCGTGAGATGGCAATTCGCCGTTGACCTTACCTTTGGCGCGGCGCTGTTGCATTTTTTCGCGGCAGCGGGCTTCCCACGCATGCAGTTTGACGACGAGGATCGATCCAAACGTTTCTTTGACCACCTGCATACGATTGTCACGTGCGGTCGCGACATCGCGGTACGCATTGGACTGCCGTCGCGACACGATTGCTGAAAAGCCCATCACGAGCGCGATCACGCCCATGCCTGCAAAGGATGCGGCGCCGATTTCGCGGTATAGCATCGTGGACGCAATCGCAATTTGAATTGGCATGATCCAGAGGTTGTGAAACGCTTTGCAGCCGAGGACAAGGGCATCCATGTCGGACGAGTAGGCGTTGGCGAGCTCCACAACGCCGGGGGCGCGGTGGTTGCCTTTGGACAATAGTTTTCGGAATAACAATCCTTTGAGCGCCCCGACAAAGCTACAGGAGCAACAAGTGAGTGGGGCATGACGTGTTAACGCTTGAATCTGCGTACCGAATGCCTATGGTTTCCTCCACTAGAATGGTGTGCGACGCCAGAAATGCCTTGGCAAGTTTTGCCCCAAGCAAAACGACCAACCACTGGTACAAATGGGCCATGTCGCCGGTGGAGGCAACGACTTGGCCGAGTACCATCGGCCCGACCAATTCGAGGAGCCGCGTCGACGCGGTCCAGATGCCTGTGACAGCGAACGAATCCCCATACACCTGCAATGCTGACCACACGACCGAGTGAGTCTTGTCAAAGACCGCGGCGAATCGATCTGTGTTGAATTCGCATGTGTTGACGTCTTCCAGACTCCAGATGTCGTCCATCTGAAGCTGGTGTGTTCGTCGCACGAGCGGCATGCACCACGACAGGAACAGCTTTGACACCATAGACGCACTGACGGCAGGATGGCGCTGCAGCACACGCAGGCCGAACGTGGCATACTTGTGCGGCTCGCCCTTGAGCTTCTCTTGCAACTTCTCGGACGGAGCCATGCACCAGTCGCTGGCGGGTCGCAAAATGGGCGACGAGTGGAAAGGCGGTGGGATGGCGGCTTGTATTTTGTCCTTGCCATCTGATTGGTCCACGACCGGCTACCGCCGTTATGATTGGACAATTCTGAAACCGCTGATTGGCCACCTCAGCACCACAAAAAGGTGATTTATATGGCGCTAAACCGATTCTTTCCTCAAAGCTTTTACAATGTAAGGGAGTCGACTGTGATGTGCTGCCGCATTGTGGAGCGCAACAACCTCCTCGACATTGTTCAGGAATGAGGTGTTGAGCTGGTCGAGACAACGCTTCGTGTGGATAATGGAGCCACCCGCAAAAAAGCTCGGTGGAACGAAGGCATGCCACCTTAGGGATGCTTGGTTGAACAAGGTGGGTACACTGTAACTGCTTTGGAGGATCGGGAAGTGAAATTTGCCCCAGCTATTCATGTCATGTGAGGGCGGCTGCGACGTGGATACAGCACCTCCCACATCGTAGAGTCATATGTGCCACATCGCGTGTTTGGCGTGCCAATTGGCCCAGCGTCCATCATACACACAAAAACAAGCACCGACGGATTGAGACAACGCACTTGTTACAAGTCGCCGCTGTTCAGCGGGACCATCTATGGACGATCCCCTTGGGAGTTCGTGACGCTGGATCGACAAAACCACCAACACAGTCGAACTCATTAGAAGGTGTGTGGTCATTTTCCTCGTAATTTCACAACGTGGAACTCTCGGGGTGGAAAATGCTCGAAACTGAAATAGGCACTAAACCGATTGGCTTTTGTCTGGACCTCATGCCACTACGGCCGCATCGGGTTCACTGACAACGAGCTGCGACAGTTGGGCAACCGACTCCTTGCCGGCGCGAGGCTGCATGTTCTCCACCGCGCAGCCTCGACGCCGTCACGGCTCGAGTGCTGTTCTGACGACGTGGTGTCAGGACGAGATTTCGGGTTGCTAGGCCAAATCGGCGAGCGGCAAAAAGTGCGATGTAGGCGCTGCCAATCAATACCACCTACCGACAAAAAGCCGGAAAGGCGACGATATGCAGCCGCTACTGCGATGTGCTTTCGCTTGCGTTGGCTGTGGAGTGTGCATGGCGCAACGAGACGAGGACATAGATCCCAGGATGTGCGGTGGTGTGCAAGGCGCAGCCTCGCAGTAGTAGCTGGACACTCCAACCTGTGCCCCTTTGCTCCATGGCGCTGGATTGATCAAGGATAGGAGTTGGAGAACATGAAGATTCCGTGAGAGGGCGTGCTGCTACGAGCGATTTCTGCACGCCACGCACTCGTGTATTGTAGTTGATGTGGATGTGTTCGACCCTCCGACGACGTTTGGTCGCTTGTTCGGAGGGATTCGGATAAACTTGTGATTATCCGTACAAACAGCCTTCAACCATTGCAATTTCGAGGACTGTTCAAACCGACCATCATTGGGCTGCGCCGCGGCGGACAAATTACGCGCCGACTCCTCCACACGGCGGGACCATTTGTCCATTCCTTAACATCCCGCACGATGCAAACTTCGTTATCTCTGATTGCTCATGCACAACATCACCCCGGCACTGAAGCCGTCACGTTGCAGTTCACATTGAAAGGGATCGACAGGCAACTTGTGCGACGGGTCGACGAAGAGCTCAGTCGTGTCCTTGTCCGCATCGAACGGCTTGTGAACCCGATTGAGAACAAACGAGGCTTTAAGTCCTCGACGAAGACGCCGAAACCTTCGACCATGGCACTCATGAAAGCAGCCGCCGTGATTCAATTCAAAACGGGGAACCATGCCGTCCTTCCCCCAACGCTGCCCGTCCTCGATGCGCTTTATGCGGCAGCGTACTTTTGCATCAACGAAGTTACGTACCATATCATCCACAATGAGCCCCGTGTCAACGCGATTGCGACCGTCGACAAGCACTTCAACGGTATCTCAATCCGACCCTCAATTGACTTGATCTTTTGCACTCCAGACGAATGTACGTGGACCTGGCATCGTGGTGACGTCCTCGTTGGTTCCAGTTTTGTTTATACACCGACATCTGACGATGTCGGCCACGCTCTGACCATTGCATGCACGCCGCCGCCGTCTCCAGATGCATCTCCCGCTCGAGTACCGATCGAACCCGTTGTTGTGCACACGTCAGTCGTGCAGGCATGTCCCGACCGGTCTGTCTTCGGTCCGCGACAGATTTTGGGTCGCGTGCCTCCATCCAACGACGGTCTTCGTCTCATGACGTACAATATCCTGTACTCCAAATATGCCCGCGCCGACCGCGAATTCAATCGCATGTATCCGTTCGCGGCACCGGGGGTGCTTCAAGAAGCCTATCGCATGCCGCTGGTCGCGCTCGAGCTTTTGGAATCACGTCCGGACGTCGTGTGCCTCCAAGAGATGGGGGAAACCATTTGCAGATCGTACTTTGAACCATTGCTGGCGCATCATGGGTACAAAGGCGTGTACGCTGGCAAAGCCGGGTCGACTCCCGAAGGATGTGCGATTTTTGCTCGAAACGATACCTTTGAAGCAGTTGAGACGGAGGTGGTGGCATTTAGTGCAGCCATCGATTCGCTTCCTAGAGACTCCGCCATCACCGCCTTCCTCCACTGCCACCCCCAAGTTGATGCTGCCATTCGTCAAGTGCCGTCTGTCGGCCAGATTGTGACCCTACTCGACAAGCGGCATGGACACGTCGTCCTGGTGGCCAACACCCACATGTTCTATCGTGCAGACGCCAACATTGTTCGGCTGGTGCAAGCAGCGCTGTTCACGGCCGCGATTGAAGCCACGGTCGCTCGGTTGAGCGACAATGGAGCCACCAAAGTCCGTGTCGTCGTGGCTGGAGATCTGAACGCCCGACCTATGACGTCGTCTATCCAGTTTTTGCTGAACGGTCACGTCGGATGTAACCACGACGATTGGCAGCAGGCGCGTGCATTTCGATGGACTGACCGAGACATCGACGACAGCGGACGTCCGTCCGAGGGAACGATGGACGTGCCGACGCAGTTTTCGCACAGCCTAAAGCTGCGTCGCGCCGTCGAGACTGAATTCACGACTTACCTGAGGAACCACGAGTTCACGTTCCAGGACACGTTGGACTACATATTGGTCGACCCGACCTCGTTCCGCGTCGTGCAGCAATTCCCCCTCTTCACGCTCGAACAAGTCGACTCGGAGAAGTCCCTGCCCTCGACGGTGTTTCCGTCGGACCACGTGTCCATCGTCTGCGACGTCGAGTACACATAGCGGCGGTTGCATCACCAGAGCATAGACCTCGAACAGCCATCGTTCAGTCGAACGGTTAGATCGAGAAATGAAAGGTCTTGGCGCACTTCGATCGCGCTCTTCGGGCCTTGGCACCCCATCGTCGTTCCCAGCCCACCGTTCAGCTTTAAGATGACCTGCCACGCATGAGTTCTCGGTGAATACATCTGAATCTAGAAGATGCAGACGAAAACGCACGAGCTTATCCAGCAATTCGTGTTTGAGGCTGGCATCGTTTGGGCACGCCTCGACGCTGGAGCTGTTGATCACCATGTCAACCGGAGGTGGGTTCACGACTTTCCTAAGGATGGGATCGTCATGGCATGCAGTACTCGATGGGCGTGGCGTGATGCGTACCAGTCAATGGGGCTCTTCTTGCTCGAGCAATACTTGCGAAAGAGCTTCATGAAGCCTTTTCGCTGCCGCATTCCCAGTAGTTCTGACGCAGACAACGCCTATGGTCATGCAGCTCGGTGAACTAAAGTTATCTAGACGAAGAGCGTGCCTCGGACATTTGGTCCTCCACA